CCCAAAGTTTATACAATTTGGGGTTGAGAGGGACTTCTTTAGGGTCAGAGTGGGAAGTCACAGGGTCAATAGACAGTTAAAATAAATATCTTTCAGAGTTTTTACAAAGGCACGTGGCTAGTTGGATGTGTTTCTAGGGCTCTCTCCTGGCCTTGTAAGGAGCTCAGGCAAATGAGGAGCCTGAAGTACAAGCTGTCCCAATTCTAAGGCCTGTGGTGAAATAAAAGGGGGATGGTTGGAATAAACATTACAGGTGAAGAGTGGTGGTGGATTTTCGAGGGTGGATTTTGCAATGATTTGCAAAAGGCACCATTTGCATTTTCCAAATCCCACTGAGTAGCAATTGCAAGCTGTGTTATGTATAATAGCGTTGGGTGTAAAGATGCCCTTAGGAGTGGTTTCCATGGTATGACGTGTCAAGGGCCGTGCTGCTTGTGCCCACCATATCTACACTCTGACCTTCACCATGAATCACATTTGTTGGGATAATCCTTTTTATATACTGTGTGAAGATGGGTCTCTGTCTCACTTTACCTGACTAAGGCACCTTTTGATTGGTTCAATAAAGAGCTGAATGGCCAATAGCTGGCAGAAGAGGGTAGGTGGGACTTCCAGGGTGAGGGAGGAACTCTGGGAAAGAGTTGGAGGTGTGGGAGATTCGCCAGCTAGACACAGAGGGAGTTGGACATATGGTACTGAGGAGAGGTAATGAGCAACATGGCAGACATAGATTAATATAAATGGATTAATTTAAGTTTTAAGAGCTAGTTGTGAACAAGCCTAAGCTAAGACCAAGCCTTCATCATTAATAAAAGGTCTCCAGGTCATTATTAGTGAGCTGGTGGTCCAAAGAAGGACCTGTTCTACACATTAGTCAGGATCATTTGCCAGCTGGATTCTAGTTGGCTGTGGTCTTTTGAAACAATCAGCAGAAGATGAGAGGAGAAAGAAGTCAGGCTATTTCTTTCTCATCCCTCTCTGCTTTGACCCATTTCCTACCTCCTGGATGAGTTGTCACAGTGCTTGGTCCTTCCCTCATGGCTACGATGCTCACTAGGATCTCAGTCTTGTTATCTCCTGACTCAGTAGACCTAAGGATGGGAATTATTGCTGGTGGTTGGACAGTTCTGGTGTAACATCTCTCAATCCCACTCTCATCTCCATAAGTAGTCCCATCTATCTATGTATCTGTCTATGTATCTATCTATGTATCTATGTAATATATCTATCTATGTATCTATGTTATCTATATATGTATCTATGTATCTATGTATGTATCTGTATGTATGTATGTATGTATCTATCTATCTATCTGCCATCTATAATGCCTTCTAAAATACATTGTAAAAGGTGATCATTTACATTCTTTTTCAAGTTTAGTGAGTTGTACATGAAGGACATAGTCTCAGAAGTCCTGAATACTCAAAAGCTGACCTAAAGTCACATGTCATTGAGAAAACGTGCGTGTTTATTAGCTCTCTACAGCCCTCACTGCCTGTCTCCCCTCACTGTGGAAGGTCTTGTGGAAGTCCACGGCTCCTCTCTGTTCCTGTCTCCTCTTTTCAAGGACCACTAAGCTTGTCTACCCTGGTGAGACTGCAACACCAACATTTTCCCTGCTTGTTTTTGCCCACTGACATTAATTGTGCTCCTGCATCTCCTACTTAAACCAAAAAAAATCGATCCTGGATCTCTGCATTTCTGTTTTCCTCTTCCTCAAGATCTCAGGGTCACCCCCTTGTATCCTCTCAGTCACTTTCCAGGCATTCTGTTTCAGTGTCTGTCTCCACTAGTCTGTTTGTTGGATAGTTGGTTCTACAGGATCTCTTACTTAGCCTAGGTTGGTCTTGAATTAGAGATTCTCTTGCCTCAGCCTCCCAACTGCTGGGATTCTAAGCACAAGCCACCATGACTAGCCCAAGTATCTAATTGTCAGGGTTATCGATCAGCTGCATACTTCCAATCACTCCCCTGTCCTCCTCTTGCATTATGATTCAGTTAATCTCCATCCAACCAAAGCCAAGCTGATGAGTCTCCTCCTGGAAGATGTTCTTCTCTTGGCTCCATCTCTCCACTGTGTCACGTCTGTCTCAGGCTCCTCTTCCGTCTCCTCTCCCCCTGCTTAGTTCTTAAATGTCAGCCTGTGCTACACTCTACTCCTCCCACTGCTTTCTGCTAACGTTTTGTAGAATTGAAAAGTTCTTAAATTTTAAATTGAAAAAGTGAACTCTTTTCCTAGATGAATCCAGGTTCTGACTGAAACACCATCTCTATGCTGGTATCTGCCAACTTCTATTTTCAGCCTTGACCACAAACTTAGTATGTCCAGCAGCTTAGTCTCCGTAGAGGCATAAGTCCAAATGAATGCATCCAGACAGAACTCTTGACTTCTCTGGTTCATTTCTCCTCCACTCTTCCTCATCTCCAGAAATGAGCCACCAACCACCCCCTGAGTTTCCCTCCCCACCCCCCCAAAAAAAACTAGAGCTCACATGCAGTCCTTCACTTTTCCTACACCTGGTGCATTAGTGAGTCTTGATTATATTTCCAAAATACACTGGGGACCTGCCCGCCTCTGGCTTTGCTATCTCTCCAGAACAACCACCATGATGCAACCATCTTACTGCCCTGCCTCTTTCCACTCTTATTTATCCACAATCTCTTCTCCGCACAGCTCCTGAAGCCTGGAAAATCAGGTCACATTCTGAGTACATTCCAATGAGTTGCATTGCCTCTGTTGTGGCTGGCAGAGCTCCACATGCCTAGCCTCTTTGAATATGGCCCCTTATTTTGAAATGCGTTGCCCTTCTCTATACCTCTGTTTCCACTTCAAACACTCTGAGTCTGTTGCTAGATCATGGCCTTTGCATTTGCTATGGCCCTCAATATTATCTTTCTTCCATTGGCTCTTTCATAACACACCAGCCTCATCCCATGAGAGGTTTTCCTCTGACTGTCCATTGTAGCCATTGCTCTGCTTGAATTTCTTCATTGCACACATGATCTGGCTGTCCCATTGGTCTTTAAAAATGTTTAACTTCCTCGACGGGTGGCGGTGGTGCACGCCTTTAAACCCGGTACTGGGGAGGCAGAGCCAGGCGGATCTCTGTGAGTTCAAGGCCAGTCTGGTCTACAGAGTGAGATACAGGACAGGTACCAAAACAACACAGAGAAACCCTGTCTCCAAAAAAACAAAACAAAACAAAATGTTTAACCTCCTAAATATTCATTAGAATACAAATCTTCTGGGACCTGAGCCTTGTGAATTTCCATCCACCATCTATTTTCAGGGTCTAGACTAGTACTGACACATGGTGGGTACCTGATGAGCATGGGCTGAATGTCCTCATGAACTGTGTCCAATAGGGATCCCCTAGCTTCCTGTGTCTCTTTGGTCATAATTCAGCTTGCTTTGGTCATTAGCCATTTCACTCACTTGGTGTAGTACACATACTTATTTTCTTCTTAGCCAGTTCTTTTTTAACTTGAAAGTTGCAGATTGGGAAAGCATTTTAATGAAACATTCATTTAACTTGATTTTAGTTTTGTAACCTCACCCATAAATTCCTTTAAACTTATATTCTGATAGACAGGATAAGAATTGCTTTCTATGTGTATGTTTTATGGCCCACACAAGTTCTGTGTAATTGCCCCTTGACGCAAAAATGCTGTGTAACAAATTATCTTAAAAACATTTGCTTTTGCTCAAGAGTCTATGCTTCGGCTGTGTGCAGGCTGGTACAGATACCTTTGCAGGGGCCCCAGTTCAATAAGTCTCGCAGCTGCCTTGAACCATTAAGCTAATGTGAGTATGTGCTTCTCGTGATGAAGTATAGGACCCTAGAGCTCCATGGAAATATCCAACAGCCTCTTAAACCTATGCTTGGGAGTGGTCTGCTGTCGCTCGTGTCTCATTCTCTTGGCTAAAGCAGGCCATGCTTTCGAATCTGAAGTTGAAGGGCAGGAATTTCAAGTCACATGGGAAGCATTAGACATACAGAGAGAAAAAAAATCGAGGACAACCATGCAACAAAACCAATGAGAGCTACAGGGATTAACTCTTCAATGCAACATTTGACAATATGATTTTACAACATGCTTTTCTTTGTATATGTAGTAGTAGTGTCCGTATCCCTCAACACAGTGGTGAAAGACAGGAGACCATATGAACTATGCTTGGGAGGTGCACACATTCTCATGTCCACACAAATTCATTCAGGATGTACTGCCCCTAAGACTTGCTATCCCTGCATCTCTTTATGGCTGGCAAACACCTTCCCATGGATGCTTACATAGGAAGGAAAGGGTCCCAGCAGTATCCTCAGTGAGATCAAACAAAGTCTTTGAAAGGATTCACAGATCTAAAAGGGCTCACCATGGAGAAGACTAGGGAGACACTGAAACTGTTCAAGTATTTGATAATTACTTGCTGGAACAAGTTTAGATTTGTTCAGTGGGATCATAAAAGGCAACATCTGAGTTGATGGACGGACACTGTGGGAAACAGCATTTGGCTTAACGTGTGGCAGAAAAGCATAACTGATATACTCACACAGTGCTGAAAGCCTTCCCATCACAAAGGACTTAGAGCTAGAGACCATATTGAATGCGCATGCTGCATAGTGATTCCCATTTTCTGAAGCCCTCTGTAGGACCGAGGCTGTGCTAAGCATGGTAAAGTGATTTCTTATTCTCAGAACAACCTAGCAATGTTTGCATAGTTCACAGTTTACAGGAGAGGAAATTCAAGAGTAGAGAGGTTGGGTAATATGTTCTAGGTCAAAAGATAATGAGGCCTAGAGGGAAAGATCTGGTTCAATCTGCTTAATTCCAGAACCCGTGTGCTTTCCTCCACACCTGGCTGTGTGCTGTGTGGCCATCTGTCAGGCCCAGGCACTCATAGATTAAATGGGAAGCTGACTCCAGTGAGCTTTAAGAACAATGTGTCTGGCTTCTCTGGCTCCAGGTTCTAGAATGCTGCTAGAAAGGTTGGAGCCAATCCACATACAGAAGAATGACCTTTGTAACCTGGTGATTTCTAGAAGTCTCATCAGTCATGTTTGCTCCATCTGAACTTGACTGTTGCCTTTAAGATGCCAGGGAGTTCTGCCTAAGATTCACAAGCATCTTCACACTCCACTCCCGCCCCCACCTCTTCTACAGTCTCAGTGACACACCCACATGGTGGCTTGTGAATCCCACATGCTTTCTGTGGGGGTGAGTGCTGGCAAATGGTAAGTCCAGGAGGGGGTGACTCACTCACTAAGGAAGGCAGAGATGATGCGAGGCGAAGAGCAGAGAGGAGCACTTTTCTCTACACCTAGACAGAGCTTCTCATATTTTCCCTTCCTGGTTTTCCTTTTTCAATGGGATTGGCTTCGTGCAGTCTCTCACTCTCACCCGACCACCATCTCTGCCCTGCCTGACCTTTGATGACGAGATGACCTCACTGAGGGAGCGTTCCCTTCCTATCCTCATCCCACGGAACAAACACACTTCTTCAAGATGCTGGCCAAGGGGGATCTAACTACCTTCCAGGGTGCTAGATTTTATTTTGATATAATTGCTGTAAGCTGATTTAAATATTTCAATGAATATTCCATTTTGTTTTCATCTTTAGGCCTTTAAAAATGCAGGGTATCATATGAAAAATTCTAATAAGCAAAATGTGCAATGCATAATAAAATGTGCATAATTTTTCACTACCATCTGCTGCTGCTTATTCTTATAAGGGCTGAAACCTAGTGGAGTGCAAGATGTCACTCTAATATTCTCTGCAACTTGACTCATAGAATGATGGACACATACTTCTCAGGAAATATACTTGATGAAACACATCTAACCTGTGGACCCTTTGCTTGATAGAGTGAACAAAAAGCCATGTGGGCTCTGGAGTGATCTGTCCATGAGCTGACAATCTACTCTCCACCATTGGTTACAGTACCAGCAAAAGCTCTCCTTTACAGAATCCCAGATGCTTGATTGTCTTCTAGCTCCATTTTCTATCTCAGGCACCTTTTCCTTCTAAAAGCACTGCAGGTCATCTGGCATCTACTTGTACCAATAAAGACACATAACTCTCAAACTGTTCTATGTATCAACTTTTCATTCTGTTTCCATTTTAAAGAATTGATGCCTAAGGGTGCCAATCCTGGCAGGGTGCTTATTTAACGTGTACAAGGTCCCAAGTTCAGTACTTAGCATTGCAAAAACATGTTTTTAACCTTATTCACCAATATTGATTATGAAACTATCCCTAGATAGTCCTGGGTCCCAGCAGATGTCTGATGAGCAGAGGATGGGCTGCCATGGAAGAGCTCTGGATCTAGCTGAAGAATGAACCACAGGCAGGGGACCTAATAATTTCAGGCACCACATGTTAGGAAGAGAAATCACAGAGACCTTGCTGAATGGTGGGAGGGCTAGGAGAAGGGAGAGGCGACCCTACATATATGCGGTGATTGAGGGAGGACTTCATGAGGCCTCTGGCAAGGTGACCTGGAACGTCCAAGTCCAGCTGTGTCTGTGTCTTCTCACAGACACTCTTCCTCCTCTTTATTTTTGGCTTAGATTTAAATAGGCTTTAGCTTCTGATGGATGAACTGCTTCTTTGTGGTCCGAAGCCTGCAAGAAAAGCCAGCAGAGGCTGCAATCCATGTTCCCCACCTTGCTGACAAGGGGATGGGGTGGCTTTCCAGTGAGACTTGTCTGAGGGACCACACGAAAATGCCACACTGCAAAGCTGACATGAAGCACACAGGCACATGACCGACACCAGAGAGTAAGTCTAACGCACAGCCTTTTGGTCCCCCTTTGTTTTGGTTTCCATGGAAATAGCTTGATGTGTGAAAGATGTGGAGGGTACCAAAGGCAGAATGTCAGAAACTGGTGTACTGAGCATGAGTAAGCACGGGGGTGGAGGTGCCTGGCATAACCGGAAGTAATGTGTGTGCTCCATCCAGGGGTTGGGGAAGCTAGGATCAGAAATCCCTGGGCAAGGCTGAATCTGTCAAAGGAGATCAGTATCCCAGAAATGAAGGCAGACTGGATCCAGGCAGAACCCAACAGGCACACTCAGAACTCTGAACATCTAACAATAGGGTGAGTGCTTCAGAGAAACCTACTTGACAGCAAGACAAGAGCCTTCTCTACACTCTGGAAAGTACACCCCCAAGCTCCCTGGGTTTTGTGTGTTGGGTTCAGGGATTTTTAATGCCGACAGTGGAAACGGAGACAGCAAGCCCATGTGAAGAAGGAATGTGGTTACACATACCTTCAACGTTCACAGCTTTTACTGCCTTGGCAGCTTAAAACGTATAGTCCGTGTCATCTTAATTTTTAATTTTTTTTTTAAAATTCTCAGCCTTTCAAGACTTGAGAGGAAAAGAAGAGCATGGAGAAACCCAGTGATATGCTAGTGACTGGGACCCAGGACAAGCTTGCCAATCAGCATGGCTGCCCTCAAGAGCTCTTCTGGGGACGATGGGTCTGTGGTGTTTCTGTGGTGTAACTATTCTCCTATGGTCTGTCTCAAGGAAACAACATAAAGCCACAGCTGAGAAGTGGAGCCTGGAAGAGGTGCTGACAGTCAGCTCCATCATAGGCAATCCATGCCCCCTCAGCAGACCTGTGAGGTTAAAGAGCTCGTGCTTTCTAGGGTCCTCTTCTAGTCTCCTTATCTTCATTGACTCTTATTCTCTGGGATGACCGTGGACTTGATATTAAGGTTAAGAAATGCAGGCGACATGCCTTAGTTGAGGTCATGGGGCTGGTGAATTGAATACCAGGCAAGAAGGGCCTTTTGTCCTCAGCACTGGGCTCTTTCCTTGGCACCTGCTACTCCTTGGGGGTAGTAAAGTCTCAGGAAAAGTTGCCCATGCTACAAGGATATTTCCACTAGTGCCTCCCTCTTCTCCCTTGCCTAAGAACCGCTACACACACAGACTCACTCTTCTTTGAGTCATCACTACAGAACATGCTCTGGAGATTTCCCCAGAAATCCTAACCTGTATGTAGATCTACCCACCGTTGTTTATGAGCACATGAGGCAGTTACTACTGGTACCATTTGCCTGGGTCATCTAGTATGCAGACAGAATATAAGCCAATGGCCACTGGGTAAAAATGGTGGATGTCCTAAGCTGTTAGTACCCTGCTTGGCCAGAAGAAGTGCTCTCTGTTCCTATTGCAAACCAGGAACCAACAAACATCTCTCTCTCTCTCTCTCTCTCTCTCTCTCTCTCTCTCTCTCTCTCTCTCTCTCTCTCTCTTTCAGCATACTTTCCTTCTTAGACATGAAGCTCAACATAAAGAATGACCTAAGTTGTTTAGATGAGAGATTGCAGTCTATAAATGTCTAACCAAGTACATGGATTTCCTAAAGTGAGAAGAGGCTTTTTAGCTGCGTGACGTCTCTGCTGCACAAAACAGCTGGTTTTCCTAGGGGGCTGCTTGCCCAAGTCTGGACTTGCCACATCTGTGGAACCAAGGACCTGAGAAGTCATGAAGGAAGTTGCCTGTAGAAATTCTGCAAAGTAGACACAGTTCTGAGAATAAGTAGGCAGAGTGGAAGACTGGGCCAGGGTGGAAGTGGCCCAGGTGGGAAGAGCCAGTGAACAGACTCTGGTGTAATGCAATGACGTCAGGCTCTAAAGGCCACTGTTGGAAGACCGTGCCAGCTTCTACTCCTAGCATCCATCAAACTGTAGAATTACCTGGCCAATAAGTGTACTGCAGTTTGATTTGATTTGAAGGAAGCTTCTTTTGACACAGCCTCATTGGCACACAGGTCATGACCTATCCCACTGTAGTCCCACAGGAATGCACCTAGGCAGGAAAGATAGAGCAATAGGCCAGGTCCCAGCTTCTCAGAGGGACCTGGAGAACTGCTAGAAAGTGGCCTGTGGAGGCTGGGCACACGTCAAGGGACTTGAAGAAGACAGAAATACAAACAACTGGGCAGGACATGGGGGGTGGAACTCTTACCTTGCTCATTGTAACTTATTCCTCTTACTTCTTTCTTCTCTATTAAATTCTAGGCATCTCCAACACAAAACAGATTCCATATTTGTGTGTGTGTGTGTGTGTGTGTTTTGTTTTATTATTCTTTATCTTACTTTTTTTTTGTTTGTTTGGATTTTTTTTTATAGAGAATATAAAGTCTGTGGGTGGGTTGGGGGGTGGGGAAGATCTGGAAGGAGTTGGGGGAAGGGAAAGAATATGATCAAAACATATTTTATAAAGGAAAAAATTAATTAATTATAAATATAATGTAATTATGGCTTTTCCTAAATAAAATAAAATAAAACTCTGGGCTTGAGGATGGGGGCAGCAGGTCAAGGAGGTACTAAAGAGGGGAACTTCCTGCATACCCACACAGTGAAATATTGCAAAGCCCATCTGTGAATTACTGGCTCGCCATAACCTCAGTCTTCTTCAGAAATGTTTTCTGTGTGTAACTTGAATTTATCAGATGACAAGCCTAGATAGTAGATAACCTCAGTCTAGTGCAGGGTAGCCGTACAGTAATCAGGCATGCTGATTTTAACTAGAGAGGTGCCAAATGCCCTCTTACCACGCCAAATAGTTCTAGAGAAAAGACCAGTGCAACACCATATTAGGCAAAAATCACTGAGCACAGTCTGCCATAGTCAGAAACTCATCTGAAAGCCCCTCTCCCTTTGTAAACCATCGGTGATAGATTACATCTCACAGAGTATTTACAGATGCTTTGTAAACTGTGAAGCACTGTGATAATGGTGAGTGGTCCCTATTTCTCTGGCTAGATTTAGGACATTATTTTGTTCTCTTCACCTTTTGTCGCTTTTATTGCTCCTTGACTAATCTGGATCAGGGCTGGGAATCTTCAGAGAACACTTAATGGGAGCTGCAGTCCCAAGAGTGACTGGGCACCGTGCTCTGTCACACCATCTGGGCCGCTGACATTGTACTTAGCTTGCTCTCAAACAAGACTCCATTGCAGTTAGTTCTTGCCTCCCAGGAGTCTTCTTAGAGCCAGGTTTTACCTGCACCTTCCCCTCAGCACCTCAGAACTTAAGAGCTGCTAGGAAGAAGGCTTCATGAGGATGTGGGCAGCAGCTCTGAATGGGGGAACCGCATGGGTGGGTGGGAATCTCTTCCATAGAAAGGAAGACATTGCCCACTATTCAGTTAGCCAAGAACCCAGTGAGAATGTGTTTCACAACATTCTGAGTAATGAACCAACGTCATGTGACTACATTATGCAAACTGCTGAAACACAAAACTGAACATCACAAAGCTTTCTCCACCCATGCAGGTAGAGAAACCCTGGGCATTGTTGGAAGAAAGTCAGATCTAGCCTTCCCTTTTTACTTTCTGGTTGTTGCTGCTGTTGTGGACATACCTGGACTTCTTCCTGTGTTCCCAGGGCCATGCCGACAGCCCTTCCATATTAGCCCTGGGAAGTCCAGTAAGTGGCGTTAACACCGTCTGGCAAAGGGACTGAAATTAGGGGACCCTGTCACCTGCTCAGGTTTGTACGATTTGCCAGCAGTAGACACAGGATTCTGTCCCAGACTGTCTAGCCCTGAGAGGGTGCTGACCATTTCTGAGTCCCAGTTTGCTTCTTTTCAGAGTTTGACAGTGTCTCACTCTAACTCCTCCTGGAGGAGACACAACCAAGAGAGAAGGCAGACATTTGGGGGGGGGGGTTACTCAAGGATTGAGTCCAAACTGATGCCTCTTTGATCTGTGGGTCTCAAGCATAGACGTGGCCTGACAGTTGTCCCATGAGCACATGAACTCCTCACTGAGCTGTTGAAGCATGATCAGCCTGCCCTGGCTACAGCCAATAGCCACCTTCTCCTTTGGTGCGGTCTCCTCCGAGTTTCATAAAGCCTCTGGGTGGCTGATATTATTCTCACTATTTATAGGTGAAGAATGGTGGTGATGAGATGTGACCTGCCTGAAATGAGATGACTGGTGAGTGACAGCATGGGGATTTGAATTCATGGCCAGAGTTGTGAGACAAAAGAACATCCTTTGGTCTAACACTTGACGGTTTCTGAAGCTGGCCCATAAAGGAGCATATCAACAAGATGGATGATGGCTACTGTGGCCAGATGTGGCCTGTGCACGTTCCAGAGATTCTCAACTGCTGTGCACACAGTGCATGTTTCCATGAAGGAACACACTCAAGAGAGCTACAAATAACTTGCCAGTTGTCCCATTGCTACAAAGTGGTGGTACAATACTGTCCAATAATAATTGTTATTCTAATTCTAGGATTTTAACTTATTTATATTTATTATAATTCTTGGTTGCCTTTTAGATGGGACTTCCTCAAGGCTAAGGAGAAGAGTCATGTGTACTCTTCTGTCAATTCCCAGGGATTTCTAGTACTCTGCTGTATACACAACATTGAGACTTTTTTTTTTTAACAGAAATTCAAAGGTACAAGAAGAGACATTGACTGCAAATGATCAATGAACATAAAAAAGCAATCAATGCTTAATGGGAAAGAGTTAATGTCATCAGGAGAAGGAAGTGGCTAATGACTTGTTTTTCCACAGTTTAGAGATGGGAGAGAATATGGGGAGGAAATGAAGTGGTAAGGCTCAAACACACTTCTTAAGGGAGAATGCATTGGAAAAGGAGACAGAGAACTGTAAAGACAAAGGAACTAAGATGAAATCTTAGATTGTTTTCATTGGTGTCAATCCACTCACAGATCTAGGCAGAGCATCCCAGTGTCATGCAGGAAGTCAGAACACCTGATATGTCCAGACATTATTCAGGATCCTGAATTTTAAGGTCAAAATGCAATAGTGAATGGAATTCTTAAGTGGGCCAATTTACAGTAATGTTCAAAGAGTCTTCCTAGGTTTAAATTTTTGATGAGATTGCTCAAAACTCGTCTGCTGAAAATATTTAGCCTTTAGCCTAAAAAGGTAAGAGGCCCAGCTTGAAAAAGATAACACTAAGAGGCGAGGGAGATCGAATAGTTGATTCCAAGTTCCCACAAGCGTGTGGTGTCCCGATCACTTGCTCAACAGTTGCTCTCGGGAGGCAGCTCAGAGTGAAGTGGAGCAGTGGTCAGGATGCACTAAAGGTCAAGGAGCCAAGCCCACACTGGGTACTGGAGGACTACCTGCAGCCCCACATCTGCAAACCACCTTCTGCTGCCCAAGGACTTTCACATGCATTGCCTCATTTGACCAGAGCAGTCTTGTGAGGGGGAGGGGAGGGACCATATTCATCTGGAATATGCACAGAATCAGGGCTGATACCCAGGCTGTCCCAAAAGGCATTTATTCAGGTTGATAGGGACCTGGGCTGTCCCAGTCACTACGTGATTTGAACATCACCTCTAGTTCAATAACAACCCCCAAGTAGTAATAGCCCACCACCAAGTAACGGAGATGAAGTACCGTGCTTGGAACTAGTCAAAAGCTCTTTGTTCAAAACAGCTGTGCTAGGTGCTGTGGGGCTATGGGTATAATGAAGATCCTGCCATCCCAGGAAGCTGAGCATCAGGGCCTTCAGTGAACTGCAAACAAAACACCAAGGCTGTTCAGAAGAAGGGAAAGCCAGACTTGACAAGAAGCAATGGCGAGACCTTCAGAAGGACAGTGACATTGGAGACTGGCCTTGAAGCAGGGGCCGGGTTTTGACAGAGTAAGACGGAGGTAAGTGTGTTGGAGAATAAGGGATTTCTATATTTGGAGACAACAGAGATAAAGATATGTGTGGGAAAGGAAACCCAAGCTGGTTGGATTAGGAAGTTTTGATATGGAAGTAGGAAGGAGGGTCAGGGTCATGGTGTTGGGGACCTCACATACTAGTCTGAGAAGGAGCCCTTGCTTTGATCTTTGTCTTGAAGGCTGAAAAATCAGAATGTCCTCCAAGCAAAGCAAGCAGCAACCTCTGACATAGTGTTCTGTTAACACTGACGGTCTGATGCTACGGCTTCATGGTAAAGTATTTGCCTAGCATGTGCCAGGCCTTGGGTTGGCTCCTCAGTACTGTAAAACAAAACAAAACAAAACAAACAAAAAACCCCAAAGGCTGTGTATTTTGCAGCCTGAGCCCTGAGGTTCTTAGCAAAGCATTTATTTATTTACTTATTTATTTATTTATTTATTAATTGATTGATTGATTGCTTGATTGTTTGTTTGTTTATTGTCATGAGTGTGTCATATGCATATGCTGATGTGGGTGCAGGTGGAGGCTGGAGACCGCTGACATCAGGAGTTCTCAATCACTCTCCACTTTGTTTTGCTGAGGCAAGATCTCCCACAGAACCCAGAACTCAGCGATTCCACTAGGCTAGCTGGCCAATGAGCCCAGGGGTCTTCCCATTTCCACCTCCGGACTGAGGTTACAGACTTGCATGGCCACATTTGGCTTTTTAGACCCAGGTCCTCACGCTTGCGTTGCTAGCATGTCACCATCCAAAACATCCCTCAAGCCTGAGATGAGTTGTTTGTAAAGAATCCAGACATCATTTCAAATTCTGCACGTCGACCTTCCCTGGACTGCATAGCTCCTGCATAGAAAACAGTCGCCAAGGGAGGCTGAAGAGCGTGTAAGCATCCCTACATGCATGTACTGTCGTAACTAGGAAAACAAAAGATGGCTTTTGCTGAATTTTGCTGTTTAGAGCTAATTTTGTTGTTTAGAAGGCTCTGTCACTTGAAGTTGGGACTCTTGGTCCCTTGGTGTTCACACCTTCCTCTCTCTGCCTTGAAGCTTGGCCTTTACAAGATGAGGAAGCGTAATCCTGAAGAATACAGAAAACTAAAAGATCTAGCCTCTTCCCCGCATCTACAAGAGCTGGGTCATTCATTTCCTAGTGGGAGAAATTCATAACCCCAAAGATGTATGAAGGCAGCTAGGGTGGAGCATAAAGTCGGAAAGGCTTCATCCGCCTGTTAAAGTGGAGTAACTGTGGTTATTTCATTTACAGTTGCTTCGTAAGCACCTCCCTGCCCCCGCACCTCCACGCCTGATCCACAGAAAACAACCACAAGTCCCAATAGATGACACTACAATGGTACCCTCACTTGGTACATTTTTTTCTCTTCTTCCACCTTCCAGCACTAAAACACCCATTCACCTGCACAAAGTGAAGGGAAGGTGTGTCTATGATCCAGTTGTTAGAGACTTAATGCTCCAGAAAACACACACACAGTCACCACAATGAAAACGGCTTAAAACAACAAAGAAAACATTCAAAATAGGTAGCAATTGGGACCAATTAGTGGGTGAAATTTACTTTCCTGGTGACTAAGTAATGAGAATAGTCTGTGCTCTACTACTCAATCACCATGTCAAGATATCCCAGTGTGCTGGCTGGTTTTATGCCAACTTGACACAAGCCTAGAGTCACCAGAGAGGAAGGAGCAACTGAGACGATGCCTCCATAAGATCAGGCTGTATGCAAGCCTGTAGTACCTTTTCTAAATTGATGGGGTGGGTACAGCCCATTGTGGGTGGGGTCACCCCTGGACTGGTAGTCTTGGGTTCTATAAGAAAGCAGGCTAAACAAGCCATGGAGAGCAAGCCAGTAAGCAGCACCCTTCCATGACCTCTGCATCAGCTCCTACCTCCAGGTCCCTGCCCTGCTTGATTTTGGTGATCAGACTATTACATGTGAGTGAAATAAGCTCTTTCCTCCCCAAGCTATTTCTGGTCTTGGCATTTCATCACAGCAATAGTAACCCTAACTAAGACACCCAGGGACAAAGAAAAGAGTTTTTAATTTTGAAAGCCCTGCAGTGGGGATGTGAAGATTAGTCAAGTTTGGTTGGGCCTATCTGAACCATTTAGTTCATGCCTTAACCCTTGGGTGGGTCTACATACTACTAAGTGGCCCCACAAAGATCTCCACAGCTTCAGAAATCAGTGGAATAAACTGAAGGTAAGTACTTATGTGGGTGATTTTTTTCAGCAATGCTACAGACACTGTGGTGGGACCTGACCAGTTCTAATTGGAAAAACACAATAGGAAACACATCAGAAATTGATTTGGTATGAGTCAGAGAGCCATGGTAGAAAGTAACTCCCCTGCCTGGGTCAGGGGTAAGATTATCTCGGTGATAGAGATACACTTGCCTAACATGTATGTACAAGGTCCTGGGTTCGATCCCCCAAACCAACCAAACAAAACCCCAAAAGTAATTAATCTGGGTTGCAGGGAGAATTCTATTGTACGTTAACACAATCAAATGTTTCTGTCATATTGCCAAGAGCCTTATCCCACTGTGTGGCTTGTATATTCATTTCTTCAACAATACCTATTGAGTAGAACTTTCTTATTTCTTTGAAGTCCAATTTGTTAAATACATTATTTAGGGTTACTTCATATCCTGTTTAGAAATAACTCCTCAAGTCTTGCATGAATACTCACCTATATTTCCTCCTAGGAGCCTTATTGTAATCAAATATGTTGGGATCATCTCAAGTTATTTTTCATGTGTGGCATAATTTATGTACATATGTCTGTACATGCATGTGTATGTGTGCATGTGTGTGAATGTGTGCATATGTGTGGATGTGTGAGCATGCAATCATGTGTGTATGGGTGCATGTACATGCAAGTGTGTGTGTGTGTGTGTGTGTGTGTGTGTGTGTGTGTGTGTGTGTGTGTGATTTGTTCCACTAACATTTGTGGAAAGGACACCCATTCTTATAGACTTGCTTTGGTGTCTCTGAGGAGGAGCAATTGACCATGCATGCATTCATCCCTGAAACTGCTCTTCTGTGCCTCTGATCTATTTGTTTTCTTTTTTCCTGTGCTTGTTTATCTTAATTAAACTGCAGCTTTACAATAACTCATGAGGACAGGTAGTATAATGTTTCTCAACTTTGTCTCAGCTGTCCTACATCCTTTCATGTGCCTGTGAGCCCTGGTTATATCACCTGAAACCCGAGCTGATTTTTGCCCAGTCCTTTCCCTGTGAAATCAGGTCGTCTTTGACTTCACTGATCTTTCCTGTTTCAGCATTCAACGTACAATTAAACCCATCTAGTGAATTTTTCCTTTTGATACTTTTTACTTTTCAGTTCTAGAATTTTCACTTGGCTCCCTTTATTTCTCTCTGTTGAAGTTCCCCATCTGTTCATCTTACTTTGAATTCTCCAACATATTTTTAAGAGCTGTTTAAAATTCTCTGTCTGCTAATTCCAACACTGCATCATCTCTGCATCTC